AGAGAGAGAGAGAGATACACACACACACACACACACACACACACACATGGGTTTATAACTGAGTATCTTCGGAATAACGCATTATGCCGTTGCGTATGTGTAACTGACCTCATCTAAAATAACAGTAAACAACCAAGTGTAATAAATAAACAATTAAAAAAATTGTCTCTGCTGCATGTGCATGATATAATACTTTTATGTTGCAAGGTTTAGGGTTTGCTGCAAGAAATATCTTTTTACAAAAGTTGTTTTCCACAGTTTTGTGTACGACAGTGATGAAAATAGTGATACTTTGCATACTTGATCGCAGAACTAGACCGTAGACTCCAAGAATGTTTGGTCTTAATCACAATGTCGGACTTACACTCTTGATGACGACAATCTATTCCGTTGCGGATAGTGTTTGGAACGGTACTGTTTTAGTGACGTATCTATACGATGTCTCCGGTAACAGCAATGCAGCTGTTGGATATGTGGAGGCTTTGTCAGGAATGGCTATGCTGTTCTCTGCCTTTCCAGTGGGCTACTTTGCAGACAAGGTCTCGAGAAGGTGAGTATGTATTCATCTATTCTTCAGTCTCAGATCCAACTCAAACTCGTGAAGTTGCAAGGGTTTCGCCATTCGATTATGTTCGCGTGATGTACTATACGACCCACGGAATGTTGGAAGTACATTTGTCTGTACCTGTGTTCGGTACTGCATAACTATATATACATACTTAGGTACCTAGGACCTTCTTTTTGAGTTCTGGTATGATTTCTGTGTTTCTGTGCTTTTCGATATACGAGATTACTGTGTGCACCAGCGTATACACTATGGATCATGGGGTGTACATCCGTACTGAGTTAATATTTTAATACGCACCCACCTATCTTACTGAAAGTATGGATTAGTTGAGGTTCTATTGTTTTGAATATACATGCACGCACACATGCTCTTAGATGGCAATGTTTAACTATTTTGTGGTGTTCAAGCGAATATGGCTTTTTGAACATATAAACAATTTGTTCTCAAGGAAACTTGTGTAAAGCTTGTATATACATTTTTGTATCAAACGCTCAAACGATCTAATTTAATCGTTTATATAGCTGTTTATTGGTATGCGAGGTCGATGCATTCTGTTGCCGGTAAATATCAGTTACCCAGTCGTGCTAGATTTAAAATGAATCCATAATCTTTACCAAGTGTTCCGAGAACTTAAATTCACACATCTGCGCATCAATGTTGTAGCCAAGTGTGTCGATCATATATCTACACAAAATAGCGCTGATGATCTGTGAACATCTCGCCATACAAGTTCTCACAAACAGAAAATATTTTCAAGATTGACTCATCAAGTTAATATTTGTTAAATACCATACGCACAGGGCTAGGTTCAATTTTACATTTATACATGGGTGCGCGTTTTCCATCTTTTGTTCACTCATAAAATGAGCTACAGAGGTATTGGTATGTTTCGAATTCATACGTGCACTTTGTGTATCGTTGCCGCAACTTAAAGTTCTTTCCTGATATGTGAATCATTCCTATTACAGCCTCGCCATATCATTTGGAGGCGTGGTGAATGCTGTGGCGATGGCTCTAACCGCAATATCGGTGACAGATGCGCTACACGTGGATGAGAGAACAAATTTTTATATTCTGGCTCTGGGGATGATTGTATATGGCATTGGTGGTGGCGTCATTCAGGGACCAGTACAGGTATATCTTATGCTTAGGTCCGTATCAACACTTATACGTAGTATTTATTATTCACGGCAATATGCTTCTGTAGAATTTTATGGAGACCTCTTGTTTGCATCTGTATAGCACACTTAGGCTACAGTCTGTTCTCAGGTGGCGCCTATGTGCAGGTATGCGAGTGTATTCAGTTCTCTTGCGAGCTGCTAATACAAAGTGTTTCAGTGCTGCTGTGTGTTTATTAAATTATCACATTTTTCATCCTCGCCACGATCCTTTCTTTAATGCCCTCAGGCTCTATACGCAGATTCGATAGCCACGGGCGAGCGCACGAGGTGGTACACAATACTCTTTGTATGCATGACGCTTTCTTCTGTTCTAGGACCGCTCGTGTCGATCGCTGCGTTTCTGGTGTACGGAAACACATGGAAGACAAGCCAACTCGTGTACGTTATACTGGTGGGTCTGGCCATGGAAATCCCCGCCGTAGTCTGCTTGTTCCTCTTTAAGAACTCGGAAGCTTTGGGTGAAGAAGCTGCTAGTCATACCGAGCATGTGAAGCAGTAAGTCAATACAAATATACTATTGTAGGTGTTCTACTTTTGTTATAGTTTTGTGCTGCTATTCTTTGTGGTGCTACTGCTGTAGCTGAAGGTAGACGTAAGAATACAAGCGAATTTGGTTTTGTCTCTGAGCGACCAAAAATGTGTCATTGCATTGGAAAGGAGACTGTCCTAGCATTTCGCGCGACCTATCTTACATATATTTCTGTACGAATTTGTCAGGTCCGCTGAGAACAAAGAAATGGATGGCAAAGAATCTGACGTTTGGGTTAAACCACATATGGTACCATATATTCTCTTCGCGAATGAGTTAGTGTCTTCGCTAGCCTCTGGAGGTATGTTCACTAGAGCTGAGCTTGTTTTTTATGATTCAATGTAAATGATATGTATGATCTGAGTCATACTTACCACAGTGAATTCTATTCAGGTAGGCAATATATACTTCCGCTTAATTTGTGTCGATCTTTCGAGCACAAACTGTAGAATTTTACTTGTGGTCGTGGTTGTTCTACTAATAAAGCCCCAGTTGATTTTTAATGAAAACTTTACATTGTACTCAATTCAGTTACTATCAAGTTCTTCCCGTTGTACTTCAAGGAGAACCGACACATGTCTCCTATTCAGGTATTCGAGAATCACCTGCTCGTGTGTTATCAGTTATCAGTTGAGGTTTGTGTGTGCAGCAGCTGCTCGATGCTGACTCTTGCTCCAATAGCGTTGCTATTCGACCACTTATTGCGAAGTGAACCGTTACCTTCAGGATCGTGAAAGCTGCTCGATTCATTGACATACTTTTGAGTCGGTAGATCAGCTAACAGATTTTTCTTAATTTTCTCTCGCACAGGTGCAAGTGATATTTGCTCTCGCGCCCTTGAGCATCGCACTTTGCTCGTGGGGCATCGAAAAAGTCGCGAAATCTAGATTGGGACGTATCATGTCCATGGTCGTGGCCAATATTGTGGGTGTCGTTTGCCTAGTGTTGATGGTATGTATGTGCGTTTTGCATCCGTGCTCTCAGACCACAATTCAAATTTCAAGGTGTGTCGCTATATCACAACACTGTTTTCCACACTTCGGATCAAATTTCCAAGTATTATCACTTAAACACAAGCAGTCACCTTCTTATTCTTTTCATTCTATGTAGCCGTGCTTAAAATTTTGCTTTCCATATCCATCTCTTTCTCGCGCAGATTGTACTGGAGCAGCACTTCCACAATGTCGTGATCTGTGCTCTGTACATCGTCAGAACTGGTATGTCTACCTGGGCAGGGAGAGCTATTCCAAATGTTTGGGTTATTGCATTTTACTCATTGCACACTTCGCAAATTTAGAATGTGAGTATTTTGGCATTTGTTTTGTCTGCCAATGGTATATGATTCAGATTGTAACGCTTATGCAGAATTGAGCAAAATATTGACCTCGATTTCTCTCGCGTTTCTTCCAATTGCCAGGCCTGATGAATTGCACTTACCCGATACAAGAATCTGTATTAATGGATTACGTGCCTGTATCTCAACGCGGGCGCTGGAAATCGTTACAAAGCATTTGTAAGTAATCAGCTTTTGTGATATGTAAGCCTATGTGATGTGGTTCGTGAAATTGTACACTTCGCTGAGCTTGCTAGACTTTGCTCTAATTGGTTTACGTTGGTGACCGAGCCGTGTGCAAGATTTGATCACTGACTGTAGGGAATAAGTCAGCTCGCTTTGATAAATACGACCGAAAGCAATCCATCGTATTGGCATTTTGATCTCGTCATCGCATTTCATACTTCACTATTAAAAGCACATTTAAAAACTGATTTTATCTCTTATTCCTGCACAGGCGCCGTCGGATGGTGTGGGAGTGCTATGGTGGGAGGTATGCTGGCGGATAAACATGGCTATGGGTTCAGCTTTCTATTCACAGCTGCGTTTCAGGTGAGTTATAGGAATGCTGCAGACTTGAAGTGCCAATCTCAAGGGTATCAACCATGTTTTCTGTCCGTCCCGTTTTCACATATTCTACGTAGTAAGGAATACACAAATGTACCGCTGGTACAAACGTTGAAAGAATAGTTCTCTCTTCAGATGTTTTCTGACAATTATCTCAAGCCATCATGTAGCAGTCAAAAGATCTGTCATCATGTAGCAGTCGAAAGATTTCTAAGGGAAGGCGTCTCGTTTTTTTTATACAGTTGCTGGCTGTGGTGTTGTACATTCCCTTACTCACCGTTGTCGGACACGAAAGGCGTCTAGTCGAAGAAGTTAACGAATATGACAGCAGGAACGCAGACAACGAACCCTTACTCTCAACAAGAGTTATAGACGAGTAAGCAGCATCATTTACATGCATATGTATATATAAAGAGGTGTAGCTGTGGATGCCCGCCCTTATGGTGATCGACTAGATCTGACCCTCAGCAAAAACTAAACAGCAATAAATATTAGTAATTTTTCCAGTACCGGATATCAACAGAAAAGTTTGAATTGGCTGTCGCGGATAACATTTCGGCGTTATTTTTGGAATTTGATGCTATCGCTAGGCATCAATTCATACATATATTTCACAAATTCACGGATATATATAATATATATACATACATAC